TGAAGATGAAGAGAATGACAAAGCTCCCCTTAAGAGAATTAAGAATGCTTAGAGAAATTTAAACCAAATGTAGATTTTATTTACACTATTATTTTTAGACTAGCATTATTTAGACTATTATTTTTAGAGTAAGTATTTAGAAAATTACCATTAATTATTTTAGTGACAATTATAATCAAACATAATTGTATTATCTTACATTCGTAAACTTACAATTATCTATTTAAATAAGCAAATTTAACATTTTATTATCTTTGCATGACCAACTCTAATATAATCTTGTATTGATATACTATAAAGTATTTATATAAAAATATAAACATTGAGCATTAACTCAATTGCGCAATGCGCGTTAAAAACTAGTTTTTACCATAAAAGAGAAAACAGTTTAAAAATAAAAATAATAAATAAATGTCATGACTTTTTCTCAGGTCCACACGTTTTTTAGTGGCAATGGTGATTTCTTCATTTCGATTCTCTAATATAGATTGACTTTTATATAATTTGTTATATATATAAATTGGAGTAATATATCATTGCTAATCTCTACCAGGGTATACATCTCAATATCGTATTGTATGTGTTTCAATTCCAAAAGTAGCCTTCTTTCTCTACTACAATTTTTAATTCTTAATCCTTATATTTTAAATCTAGATTGTGTTGTTTTCTTTACTGCCTTCAATCTACTACAATTTCGAATTCGTGCATTGTATTTCAGATCTAGATTGTGTTGTATTCTTTTATGTTTCTCTACTACAATTTCGAATTCGTAATCCCTGCATTGTATTTTAAATGTAGATAGTGTTCTATTCTTTTCGATTTTCATACTGCAATTTCGAATTCTTAATCCCTGCATTGTATTTTAGATTTAGATTCTATTGTGTTCTTTTCGTTTTCTCTATTGCAATTTTGAATTCTTAATCCCTACACTCCGGATGTAGATTGTGTTGTATCATTTTCGATTTCTCTATTGCAATTTTGAATTCTTAATTCATGCATTTCAGATTCAGATTGTGTTGTGTTGTATTCTTTTCAATTTCTCTTATGCAATTATGAATTTTTAATCCATGCATTTCAGATTTAGATTGCTTGGAATTTGGATTAAATCAGTTAATTGGATTTAAAATTCTGCGCTTCTTTTCAGGTTAAGGTTATGGAGAGCAACGATGAGCTGAGTGAGAGTCAGAAGCGTGCTAAATTGGAGGCAGAATACGACATGTGGTATGTTACTGTCATGAAAAGGAAAAGTTTGATTGAGGAGATGCATGTCACTGTAGACGAGCTGAACCACAAATATGAGGAGACCATAAAGGCTTTGGATCATGAGGTTACGATGCTGATGCATTTTTCGCGCAAATTGCCTGATCAAATAATTGATTTAAGGAAAATTGTTTCAAGGAAAATCTGTCAAATAGACCGTTAATTTTTACACTTTAAACAAATAAAAATAAAAATTGTGTCATAACAAATTACTTTAAAGTTAGTGAAGTTCTCTTATGCAGGGTTTTAATGATAATTGATAAGTCAATAAAAATTACTTTATTGTTAGACATAATATGTCTATAAATTTATAACGGGTTTACTAATATTGCAGCACCATTCCTTAATGCTTCTTTCTCGGATGAAATACTTGTAGGACCAAAATTAATTTTCCGAATTAATTTTGTTCTTCATGTGGTAGATTTCTCTTTGACTCGATATTCTGGATTATGATGCTTGTACTAATTAAAGACCTAAATTCTAATGGGATCTAAAGTACATTTGGCTCATCAAAATTTTATTACAAAAATATTCCTATCAAATAAGTATAAGTCAAAACCATTTTGAAACGGAATACAGTATATATCATTTCAAAAGCCATCGAAAGAAGTCAACTTCAAGGACTCATTAACACTCTAAAAAGGAAAAGGAATCAACATCCTTACGACAATACCAAGACAAGAATCATGAGAGACAATACAATTCAAGATGCATTCTATTGATCACAAAGTAAAATACGTCAAGACATGCTCATTAGCAAAGAAAATACATTCGCACATTGGCAACTACATGCCACAGTGATAACTACATGTCACAAGCAACATAGTTCTAACCTTATGCCCTGTTCCAACCTTATATGGCTACCCCCGACTTTATTTCAGTTCCAACCATTACCTCCTAGTGCCACCATGTACTTCTGAGTCCAACCTTATACCGCCAGTCGTCCCCCTCTAACATTCCACCTACATTTCAGTACACGAGGGTACTATTCATTTCATTCACACAACCACCTACATGTGAGCACAACTCAAGTGACAACCACCCACATTCAATGATAGTCACACAAGTCATAATCATTACCAAGAAGACTAAGTTTCCATAATAACCTTAATCAAGTATCAATCAAAGGGTACAATGATTACATGCGTTCATATCATAGGAATCAATCAATGGATCACAACACAGACATGAAACCATACTCAACAACGAAGGATCAATATCCGACACCAAACGATGGTCAACACAAGTTGTCAATCCCAATAAGAATGAACAAACCGCACATACTATCATTTCAACATCAAACTAGCATGCTTATCAAACGGGTAAACCAAAAGTAGTTCCATAGAACATTCAAGACTCACAATAGTCCAACGAATCACAAAGTTGGACCCTTAGCACGATTCAAGACACCAAATCCTACATGGATTCCTAACATACTGTTCTAGACATACGAAACGTCAAGAAGACTCACAAATGGCCCAATAAAACAACATCGGGAGATCAAAACATCAATGCCGAGTCAAAAGAATCACTGGGAACAAATCCTCGCCATCATCTAACAGTGTTCCCCGCCGGTGGGGCCACGGGTGGACCTCCTGTAACGTTTTCCCTATATTGTTATTATTATTATTAAGTCTATTATTATATAATAACAATAGTAATTTAAGTGGTGCAAATCAACAGCATTAGGTAATTGGTTACCTACATTGATGGGATGTAGGTTATTTAGACCCCTAAGTCCTCTCACTGCTCAGTTGACGTATCATACACCTATCTAGAGTCACTGAGAGAAGTGAGAGAAACATAACTGAAACTTACGCAGATTCTACAGCAGCCCGAGGAACTTCTGCAACGAGTCCCTGGTGATCAAGAATCAAAGCTATGGCTGGAGGTTGGTGATCCTAACTCTTTTCATTAGCCACGTATTACGTGGATTATGTGCTTACATTTGGTATCAAAAGCCAATTTTATCTCTGCCTAGCCTTGTTTAAATTGCACAATTCAGTTTTTTTTTTACATATGTTATTTTTCATGTATAATTTAGAATATGTATGCACTGTGCAATTGTGGTGGGCTGCTGGAAAATTTGTGTGTTCTTTTTCCGCATTTAGTTTAAAAAAAAAAAAAATTCCAGTTTTTTTTTTCCCCGTAAACCTCTGCGCAATTTCTTCGCCGTTTTTTTTTTCTTCCCGCTCCCCGTAAACCCTAAACCCTAAAGTTAATATTAAATTATAATTCTTGATCAAATTATTCTGTCTCAATTTGTTGGAATTTTAATTTAATATTGAATTTCAGTTTAAATTGTATTCAGTATTGCAATTTAATTGTGGAGCATGAGTTATAACATGCATAATCTGAACATATTTTATTGTTTATTGCGTTAATTATTTGATTGTTATAATTATGCGTATGTTAGAAAAGCATGTTCTTTAAGTATGCATCTAGTGCCTTTAGGTCTGAATTATATGCCTATTAAGCATGTTATAGTGCCTTTTAGGTGAATTTAGTGCCTTTTTAAGGATAGATTAAGCATGTTAGTTTACTCATTTGGTTATTGCTCCGCTCGTGTCTTTCTAAAGCTATAAAGCACATAAAGTAAATCAATGTTCTAGTTTACCCAAATTTAAAGCCTTATCCACAGGTTTATAACCATATTATAGATCATCCAAACAATTTTACTTCAAATATGAGAATACATGACTTAGGGAAGTTTCTTGGGGAGGTATACTAGTTCTATGGCCCAGGCTTAAATGCCTTGTTGCTACTAGTCCCCTTGCAACGCTACTCTGTCTAAGGAGTTGGTATTTAACCGAGCTTCGTCTCGACCAACTTTCCTGGGAGTATACCTAAAGATTGTCTATCATGTTTTGGTTTAATTTGTTTGCTAGGCTTTAAACTCCCCTTTGCCAAGTGATTACAGTTTTGTAATTAAAGAGTAGCCACAACATCTTTAATTGCTTAAATTGTATTCAGATTACCTCACATAAAGAGTTGGGCAATATCCTTGTAATTAATTCTATATGATATGGCGAAATTTAGCCCACAGGCAATTTTGTTGTATTTGTAGGATTGATTAGGATGAAATGCCAGACTATGATCATAATTTGCCCACAGGGATTATGTATCGGCATATAGTTTTGGTAGTTTTGTCATAAAGGGTGGAAACACCCAAACCGTACCCTTCTGGTTTTCACCATTCAGTTTGGTAAATTCATTATGCGTAAAAATTTAGCCCACAGGCAATTTTTATGGCATTTGAGTTTATCTTTTGCATAAGTTTGCATTGGCAAAATATGCACTTTAGTTCATTTATGCCTCGAAAATCAAAACTAACCAATTCATAATTTCCTTTCAGAATTTACCCCAACTAGCTCACCCATCCATGTTCCAATGCTTACTGCTAATAATTATAGCCAATGGAGGGATTCACTCCTGATCTACTTTGGCATGAAAGAGATGGACTATGCTGTTTACAATTCAGAGCCCCCGGCTATAACCGCGACGAGCTCTCAAGAAGCCAAAGACCTTTGGGCTAAGTGGGAACAATCCAATCGCCTGTGCATATTTTTCATTCAGTCTCGGGTTCCTAGTAATATACGTCGCACGGTTGATACACTTAAAACCGCTCAAGAGTGTATTGAGGCCATTGACAAGAAGTATGAAACTTCTGACAAATCCCTAGCAAGCACCTTAATAATGCAGTTCACCTCCCTTCGTTTTTCTCCTGCTGATGGTGTGCGCAGTCACATAATGCAACTAAGTGACATTGCAGCACAGCTTGACAAGTTGAAGATCAAGCTGCCAGACTCATTTGTAGTGCATTTTGCACTCAACACTCTCCCGCCTGAGTATAGCACCTTCAAAATTGCCTATAACACACATGACAAGAAATGGTCTATTAATGATCTTATTAATAAGTGTGTGCAAGAAGAAGGGAGACTACGCCAGGAACAAAAAGGGGAGAATGTCATGCTTGCTATAGCCAAGCCTAAGGGAAGATCTGGAAAGCGCCACACTACAGCTAAAGGGAAAGCAAAAATATCCCCTCAGACCGACATTAAGAAAACACAGAAATGCTTCTTCTGTAAGAAGAAGGGGCATATGAAGAAGGACTGTGCGAAGTTTAAGAAGTGGATGTCTGAGAAAGGTATGATCTCTTCCTTTGTCTGTTTTGAATCCAATATGTCAGACGTTAATGCTAACACTTGGTGGATTGATTCTGGTTCAACAATCCACATTGCAAATTCTTTACAGGATATGCAAAATCTGAGACAACCGATGTCAAGTGAGCGAAACATCTTCTCCGGAAATAAGATGGGCTCGCCGGTTGAAGCTGTAGGGACTTGCAAGCTGATTTTAGAAAGTGGCTTCGTTTTGAATTTAGAAAGGACATTTTACGTACCAACTTTTTCACGAAATTTGGTTTCCATTTCGAGGCTTGTACCTTTGGGATTCAGTTTTAACTTTTCAGACAAGTATTTTAAATTCTTTTATAATTCTACTTGTATTGGAAATGGTACATTGTCTAATGGTCTTTATTGTCTTCACTTACAAAACGTTGCAAGTTATGATTCCTTACATGTTCAAACTGGCACCAAACGGTGTAGTGTTAACGATAAATCTTCAATGTTGTGGCATCGGAGATTGGGACACATCTCCCTTGATCGCATTAAAAGGTTGGTAAAGGATGGAGTACTTTCTACTCTAGACTATACTGATTTTGAGACTTGTATAGACTGCATAAAAGGCAAGCAGACTAACAAGTCAAAGAAAGGTGCCAATAGGAGTTCAACATTGTTAGAGATAATTCATACTGACATATGCTGTCCAGATATGGATATGCAGGGTCAGAAATATTTCATTACCTTTATAGATGACTTCTCTAGATTTACCTATGTGTATTTACTTCATCATAAGTATGAAGCATTGGATGCCTTTAAAACCTTTAAGGTTGAAGTTGAAAACCAATGCAAGAAGAAAGTACAAATAGTTAGGTCAGACAGAGGTGGTGAATATTATGGTAGATACATAGAAAATGGACAAGCTTTGGGTCCGTTTGCTAAATTCCTACAAGAGCATGGGATTGTTGCCCAATACACCATGCCAGGTTCCCCGGATCAAAATGGTGTTGCTGAAAGAAGGAATCGGACTCTTTTGGACATGGTGCGGAGTATGCTAAGCAACTCCACACTTCCAAAATCATTGTGGACTGACACTCTCAAGATGGCAACGTATATATTAAACCGGGTTCCGACCAAGGCTGTCTCCAAGACTCCTTTTGAGTTTTTCAAAGGTTGGAAACCGAGTTTGCTTCATATGCGTGTTTGGGGTTGTCCGTCTGAGGTGAGGATTTATAACCCACATGAAAAGAAACTTGACCCGAGGACGATAAGTGCTTTCTTTATTGGGTACGCACAGTCTTCTAAGGGTTATAGGTTTTATTGTCCAAAACATACAACTAGGATAGTGGAATCGAGAAATGCTAAGTTTCTTGAAGATGACTTGATCAGTGGGAGAGATCGATTTAAGGACTTAGTTCCTTTATTTGATCATTTTGACTCTTGCCCTTCAACGTCATCTAACGGAGTTGCACTTATACGCAACGCGCCTTCAGTCATGCCTGGGATTGTACAACCCATTATTGAGATTCCACAAGCTGTTGAAACCCAACCATTGGAAGAACAAGTTCAAGACTTACAGCAACCTCCTGAACTAGACTTCGAGCCAATGGTTGAACCAAATCAGGATTTTCAGCAAGATCCTGAACCCGCACAGACCGAAGTTGAACCAATTCAAGAACTTCATCCAGTTCCTGAAGAGGAAATGGCGCCACAACCTTCACAAGGTACTGGTGTTCCAACATTAAGACGGTCTACTCGGGTAAGGCGTTCGGCAGTTCCTAGTTATTACGTATCGTATCTACAAGAATCTGACATTGGAGCTGAAGATGATCCCATAACATTTTCACAAGCTACGAATTGTGCACAGTCCGATTTGTGGTTAGAAGCCATGAAAGATGAAATGAATTCCATGAAGAGTAATGGAGTTTGGAACCTTGTTGAGTTACCTAATGGGGCCAAGCCGATTGGCTGTAAATGGGTATTTAAAACCAAAAGAGACTCATTAGGTAACATTGAGAGGTTCAAGGCCAGACTCGTTGCTAAGGGATTTACTCAAAAAGAAGGAATTGATTACAAGGAGACTTTTTCTCCTGTATCAAAGAAAGATTCTCTTCGAATCATTCTGGCTTTAGTTGCACACTTTAACCTTGAGTTGCAACAAATGGATGTGAAAACCGCGTTCCTAAATGGTGATCTAGAAGAGGAAGTTTATATGAAACAACCTGAAGGTTTCTCTACTAGAGGGGGTGAGGATTTGGTGTGTAGGCTTAGGAAGTCCATATACGGTTTGAAATAAGCCTCCCGTCAGTGGTATATTAAGTTTGACGGGGTCATTTCATCATTTGGTTTTGTTGAAAGTCCCTTAGATCCTTGTATATACCAGAAAGTTAGTGGGAGTAAAATATGTTACCTTGTTTTATATGTGGATGATATCCTACTCGCCACTAATGAGGTGGGGATGCTTCGTGACGTGAAACAGTTCCTTTCTAAAAATTTTGATATGAAAGATATGGGTGAAGCATCTTATGTCATTGGCATAAAGATTCATAGGGATAAGTCCCGGGGTATACTGGGTCTATCGCAGGAAACCTATATTAACAAAGTTTTGGAGAGATTTCGGATGCAAAATTGTTCACCGAATGTTGCTCCCATCGCAAAAGGGGATAAGTTTAGTTTGGACCAATGTCCTAAGAATGACTTGGAAAAGGAGCGTATGAAGGATATTCCATATGCTGAAGCGGTTGGATGTCTTGGCTATATTCAAGTTTGTACAAGGCCTGACATTGCCTTTGCCGTCGGTATGTTGGGGCGGTACTTGCATAATCCGGGCATGGATCACTGGGGAGCTGTGAAGAGAGTTCTAAGGTATCTCAAAGGTACTAAAGATTTCAAGTTGGGTTTTAGGCAGATGGACATCCTGGATGTTGTTGGTTATTCTGATGCGGACTTCGCTGGCTGTGTTGATTCTCGGAGGTCAACTTCCGGGTACGTCTTCATATTGGCTGGTGGGGCTATTTCATGGAGAAGTGTTAAACAATCCTTAATAACTACTTCTACCATGGAAGCCGAGTTCGTGTCCTGTTTCGAGGCTACTTCGCAAGGTGTGTGGCTCAAGAATTTCATCTCTGGACTTAGAATTGTGGGTTCTATATCTAAGCCACTTAAAGTTTATTGTGACAACTTAGCTGCAGTCTTCCTAGCTAAGAACGAAAAATGTGGGAGTTGAAGTAAACACATCGATATCAAGTTCTTAGCCATTAGGGAGCGTGTCAAGAATAAAGTTGTATTCATTGAACACATTAATACTGAGTTGATGCTAGTAGATCCCTTTACTAAAGGCATGCCTCCATTTAAATTTAAGGATCTGATTAAGAAAATAGGACTTTCGTCCTCTTTGTAATTTGTATATGCATTCAGTTGAATAATGAAATTCTTTTGCACTTCAGTTTTTCTTCAGATGCTTCAGATGTTTTCTTTGAGTGTGTACACAATTCAGTTTATCTCAATAAGAAAATATACTTCAGTGGACTTGAAATGAACATATGGTTTGTTTCATTAAAGTTTGATTACCTAAAGTACTCAAAGGCAATTTGCATTTGATCATAATGGATATTACTTGCGCTAAGGAGGACATATCATTATGATTGGTGTAAATCCTGTTTTTGAGTTCCGCATTTGCACCAAGTGGGAGAATGTAACGTTTTCCCTATATTGTTATTATTATTATTAAGTCTATTATTATATAATAACAATAGTAATTTAAGTGGTGCAAATCAATAGGCTGACTAAGTATTAGAACTTAGTCAGCATTAGGTAATTGGTTACCTACATTGATGGGATGTAGGTTATTTAGACCCCTAAGTCCTCTCACTGCTCAGTTGACGTATCATACACCTATCTAGAGTCACTGAAAGAAGTGAGAGAAACATAACTGAAACTTACGCAGATTCTACAGCAGCCCGAGGAACTTCTGCAACGAGTCCCTGGTGATCAAGAATCAAAGCTATGGCTGGAGGTTGGTGATCCTAACTCTTTTCATTAGCCACGTATTTACTGTTTATTACGTGGATTATGTGCTTACACCTCCACCCGCAGTTCCACCCACGGGTACATAACCCACAAACCTTTCGTTCCCCGCCGGTGGGGCGGCGGGTAGGCCTCTGCCCGCCGTTCCGCCCGCGGGTACACCCTGTACACCAAAATAATCCCTTCGGGGATTTTCAACAACAAGTCCATATTCAAGTCCAAAACACCCAAACCTTACACAAAACAACAGTATGACTTGAACCCAAGAAATAGCCAAGCAATGACATTCAAGAACCCTAAGAAGAAGCTCTAAACATGCATTACCACAAGACAATGCATCAAATCTCACAAATCGACACAAGAATCACAAGTAGAAGCCAAAAATCATCATATAAGTAAGAAAATAGGTTTTGTAAAGCATGGGTTACCTTTGTAGCCTAATAACTTCTTCTTTTCACCCCTAGAAAGCCCTTCCTAAAGCTCCTCTTTCACTCCAACTTCATACACAAACCAAAAGACAACAAAGATTCTATCTTTAGAAAAAGACACCTAAAAGGAGGTTAAAAACACCAAAAGACCAAGGATCTTACCCTCCCCTATGCTCAAGATGAAGAAAGTAGGAATCTTGGAAGCCAACTTGCAAGATTTGGGATGCCCAAATCCTAGCTTGGAGAAGAAGCTACACCTTTCTAGAGAGAAGTTAGAGATTTTTGTGTTTAGATTATAGGGTGAATGAAATGAAGGAGTGTTGCTAGGTTAGCTTAAACCACAAACCTTAGGTATAAAGACATCCCTACCCTTACTAAAGTTGGAAAGACAAGGGAATAAGGGCACAACTCAAAAAGCACAAGGTACAAATCTTTGACTTTAGTGACTAGTCAAAATCTAGTCCATCGACTATAGAACTTCAGGATTTTTAGGATTAAATAAACAAAGAGACTAGGATTAATTCTCTATTTAATACTTGATTAGAGTTTGGATTTATGGGGTGTCACATCCTCTCCCCCTAACAAGAAGCTTGTGTAGCCGTTGTTGTGAGTTCTTTTCTTGTGACGTGTGTAGTCACAAAGGCATGTGTTGCATTGGCATGTGTTGCCATTGGGTGTGTCCTTAATCTCTTATATCATGCATGTCAGGTGTTAATCTATTGTGTGATGATAGATTATGCCTTGAGACTTCTTGTGAGTCGTTGTTGTTCCTTGTAGTCTTGGGATGTGTTCCCGTGTTCTCGTTGAGAGTGTTTGAGTCTTGTGTTGACCTTTACTCT